GATGTTATCTCTTGTTTGTAGAGAATTGGCCTATATATATATATAGTTAATTGTTTTATCACACCATATATTATTATAAAACTAAAAAAAAGCAAAGAAAATTTTCAGGATTAGCTCATTCTAATTGAAAAAAAAAAAAAAGGGAATTGTAATTAATTTTTTTTTCTTCAAAAAGTTCCTCTTTTTAAAATCTCTTAAGAAAAATCTTTTTTTTTTTTAACTTAGTATTGCTTTTTCAAATACAATATATAGAAGTAATTAATTTAAACCATAATGTGTACTTTCGGTAAAAAATAAAGCTTTTCACTTGTCATGATGTGTTCTAATTGTACATTAAATTTAGTTCATTTTTTCTTAAAATTACAATGCTTTAAAATTATACAATGGGCTATTGTCGTAGTCTTAGGGTCAATATTTTTGAAACGTTTCAAGGGCAAAGGCAAAAGAATATCCTCTCTAGAGGACTTTTGAAGGGGAATTAGTTCTTGCTAGCTTTAAAAATATACAAACAATTAAAAGATTAAAGATCAAAAGAAGGATTTCTTTTTAAATAAGCGATTGGATTATTTTAAAATACATTAAGATTAGTTGTATCATATTCTTGTTTTTACGATATGCATGAATGTAATTGAAATGGTTATGTTGCATCATTTAGAAACACCTCAGAAAGCTTAATTAAAATAAAGTCATTTTTAGGTAAGGCAATAGAAAACTGGAATTTTTTTATTTTTTTTAATTTAACTGAATATTTTAAAATTATATCTCATTTTTTAGAAAATACGATGTTTAAGTTGAATATTTCAATTTAAAAATATGCTGTTATCTTTATTATTTTTAACCGTAGCGCAACTGATGAATAATAGTGGGGGGAAAAAACTTATAATATTCTTTTTCAATTTATAGATATTTACGCAATGTGCATAGTAAATATTTCTCTATCAATTATCAACATTTAAAAAAATAAAGAAAATTTAGAATTTAAAAAAAAATTATTTTAATTTACCTTTTTTTTTCCAAATCAATCTGATTTTTTAAAATTCCACGCACAAAGAAATTTTTAAATACGCATAAGGAAATCATACAGTTTTAATTATCACTAAGAAATAATAGAGATATCTTGATAAAATTTATTCTGAATATTAATTTAACCATAAGTACATAATGATGCAAATTACAGCTATTAATGCCGAATTTACAACCGTTGATTAAAGTATAAGAAAAGATAGAGAGAGGCCCCCCTAAAAAAATTATGTAAGTTTCTTTAAGTTTAAGGTATTACAGTTACCAAGAATCCCACAATAAAATTATAGCCATTTTATCGTGTATGATAACCATTTTATGTGCTATATCATACCACGA